GTAGCAGGTATTAAAATTAAAAGCAAAATGAAGACCAGACTTGAGAATTTCCTGAGAAGACAAAACCATATAAGCCGTATAAGCAAAACTAAGTCTATTTCATGAGCACAAAAGAAAAAGCTTAGGTTATTTCTTGCAAATGCCTCTGATAATCATAAAAGAAACTTAAGTTATCTTCTTAAAAACAGTATGAAGTAATCACTTTTAAGCAATCCTTTGCCCTCCAGAAACCTCCATTGTAATCTCTCCAAAGGGTAAACAACTTCTTTGTTTTCCCTTTATAAGTCATCCTTGTAATAATGAAGCCCCTTTTGAAAGCTCCTGGTTTGCAAACGTATATGCATGATAATATAAGTAATGCTCAAAATTCTCCAAGCCAGACTTCAACAATACATGAACCTTGAACTTCCAGATGTTCAAACTGGACTTAGAAAAGGCAGAGGAACCAGAGATCAAATTGCCAACATCCAAATCACTGCAGATGGTGATTGCAGCCATGAAATTAAAAGATGCTTACTCCTTGGAAGAAAAGTTACGACCAACCTAGACAGCATATTAAAAAGCAGAGATGTTACTTTGCCAACAAAATTCCATCTAGTCAAGGCTATGATTTTTCCAGTAGTCATATGGATGTGAGAGCTGGACTATAAAGAAAACTGAGCACCGAAGAATCGATGCTTTTGAACTGTGGTGTTAGAGGAGACTCTTGAGAGTCCCTTGGACTGCAGGGAGATCCAACCAGTCCATCCTAAAGGAAATCAGTCTTGAATATTCATTGGAAGGACTGATGTTGAAGCTGAAACTTCCAATACTTTGGCCACCTGATGCAGAGAACTGACTCATTTGAAAAGACTCTGATGGTGGGAAAGATTGAAGGCAGGAGGAGAAGGGGAAGACAGAGGATGAGATGGTTGGATGGCATCACTGACTCAACGGACATGCATTTGAGTAAGGTCAAGGAGTTGGTGATGGATAGGGAAGCCTGGCATACTGCAGTTCATGGGGTCACAAGGAGTTGGACATGACTGAGCGACTGGACTGAACTGAAGTGATGCATGATAAATTCTTACTAAAGACTGTTTATTGATTTAATGGTTTTAACTCTGCTAATTTTTGGACTTTTGACAGATTGAATCTTAGATTGGTTATTTTATCTTTATGTTTAAGCCAAGACTCTGCCCTTAGCTCTCATGGTTTAGGGATAGGCCAGGTATTTAGGGGCAGTGGTAAAGAATTCACCTGCCAAAGCAAGAGACCCAGGTTCGATCCCTGGGTCAGGAAGATCCTCTAGAGGCAGAAATGGCAACCCACTCCAGTATTTTTGCCTGGGAAATGCCATGGACAGAGTAGCCTGGTGGGCTACAGTCCATGGGGTCACCAAAGGGTCGGACATGAGGGAGCACACACTCAAAGATACTTAGGCAGAGTTTATGCATGGGGTTTGTGCCCCGAGTCTCTGGCACTCCCCTTTTCCAGTTTCTTCTTTCACCAGAAAATGGCCTTTTCTAGTCTGTTGGAATTTTAGCTTCCATTTATGCTGTAGGCAAAGCCTACCTTCAAGCTAGAAGCGGTAAAATAAGAAAATCACTAGTGCCTCTTCCTTTTTCCAATAGTGAAATTCTTTCAGATTTCTGCTAATTTTGGGGTCACTCTCCAGTGCCTTCTATTAGTTGTGTGTGAGTGTGTGTTTATTATTTATTTAAAAAAGTTTTATACATGTAACTCCATGGCTGATTCATGTCAATGTATGACAAAACCCACTGAAATGTTGTGAAGTAGTTGGCCTCCAACTAATAAAAATAAATGAAAAAAAAAAAAGTTTTCTCTAGAGTTAAATGCTGCTGTCTGTGGGAGGGTTGAGAAATCTTGGTTTCTTTGGTCCTTAACCAAAAGTGAACACAGGCATATGAATATTGAGTCTTAGTTATAAAGTCTTTTCCTATACCCAGGTTGAAGAAAATATTCTAAAGTAATCAGATAACTCAAACTAGGTGACATTGATACTAATGTTTTCGCCAATATTTATTTTCTCCAGTTCTAATTATCGTTTAATTTTTTTGTTACTGATTCAATCTTCTTACTCATTATTGGTCTTTTCAGATTTATATTTCTTCATGATTCAGTCTTAGCAGGATGCATGTTTTTAGCAATAAATCTAATCTCTCTAGGATGTCCAGTTGATTGTTATATAACTGTTTATCATAATATTTTAAGAGCCTTTGTATTTATGTGTTATTAATTTTGATTTCTCTCCTTTTACATCTGCCTTTTATTTTTGAGTCCTCTCTCTGTTTTTCTTGGTAAACCATCCTACAATTTTTCATAATTTTGTTTATCTTTTTGAAGAATGAACGCTTAGTTTTATTAATCATTTCTATTGTTTTTCTATTCTTTATTTCATTTATTTCTATACTAACCTTTATTATTTGCTTTCTTCTGTTAAATTTTGGCCTAATTTGTTCCTTTTCCTAGCCCCTTGAAATATGCTGTTGGGTTGTTTATTTGAGATCTGTTCTCTTAATGCAGTCACTCATAGTTATTAATATAACCTTTCCTCATAGAACTACTTTTGCTGCACCCCATGAGTTTTTTATATATTGTGTTCCATCTCGGTTCGTCTCAAGATATTTTTTGATATCTCTTTTGATTTTTTCTTTGGCCAATGGGTCTTTCAAGAGTGCATGCGTTAATATCCGGGTATTTATGGATTTTCCTGTTACTGATTTACACTGATTAGTTCAGCTTTGCACATGTGCAGAGCTACTGTGTGGACTGTCCACTCAGGTATCGCTGGAAGCAGGAATGCAGTCCGCGGAGATTTGAACACTGGTTGCTCTTAAGTCACGCCCCTCTTCTCCATTTCCCCAGCTACTGAGCTCCCCGGATTCTTCCCGGGACCCCATGAGGTGAGACCAGAGGGGGCCCCCTGGGAAGTACCCTGCAATGACGGGGAAGCTGGATATCCACCTTAGATGTTCTTTCCCACTGGACTGGGTCAGGTGGTTTTCTGGCCATCTTATATCTCTATTTCCTGAAATAATCTGAATCAGGTTCCTTGGTGATTGCCGATTTCTTTCCTGAAGGAGCCCAGGGCATTTGTGATCGTGAAGTGACCTGTAACGGATACCTCTTTTCAAAATCTGAAAGTAGAGAGCCCTTAAAAGTTGGTCCAGCATGGCCCTCAAAACAATTACTTGTTCAAGAAAGGACGAGAAAATACCTGAAATAACATTCCCCTGGGAGGGGATTTTAGGCTGGTAATCCAGTCTCTATAAAAATGTCTAATGGTTTTTGCAAGGATGGAGTGGAAAGTGGGAGTGATTTCTGTGTAGTATCAATACATACCTAATGGAGGCAAATTTTCTAGACCCAAGAACAGTGGTCCAGTAGCTGTGCTTTCAAGAATAAAATTAAGGAAAAAAAGGGGGGTGGGGGAGGTGAATTAAAATGAACCGGCCTTTTGTGCATGGGTCACTACTGTGAACTCTGCAGAAACAATATAAGCATGTGATTCTAGCTTCTGTAGAAAAGCGTCATTTGTTGCATTGGACAGGCCCAGTCATCTACAGTGATACATTATACCAGTGGGAAACAGGGAAAGTATTGGTCACATGGGATTAAAGCTCTTTCTTGATTTATGTTTGGAAGTAGTCCTAAACCTTCTGATTAAATCCCAAGGAATTTTAGACTTTTTCCCCTGTATTTTTTTTTTAGGGCATATAATTAAAGATTAAAAAAGAAAAACAACTGATGTTAGATAAATAAAGGAAATACATAAGATTAGGAGCTGGGTATGCAATAGCAAATAAACATAAAATATTAGGTAAGAACAAAAAAGCTAAAAATTAGTCATTGCAAAGGACCTTCAATTTATATTACTAATAGAAAAGATAAATAGGGCTTCCCTGGTAGCTCAGTCAGTAAAGAATCTGCCTGCAATGCAGGAGACCAGGGTTCAATCCCTGGGTCAGGAAGATCCCTTGGAAAAGGAAATGGCAACCTGCTCCAGTATTTTGCCTGGAGAATTCCATGGACAGAGGAGCCTGGCGGGCTACCTTCTATGGGGTCCCTGGCAGGCTACAGTCCATGGGGTCGCAAAGGGTTGGATATGACTTAGCGACTAAACCACCACCAATATAGAAGGTAATTTAACTATATGGCCTATTATTGTCAATATCCACCAGCCAAAAGCATCAGGAACATAAAGAAATAAGTCACACATACTCAGTATTAGGGAGAGAAAATACATGTGTGGGAGATGGATAATTAGAAATGCAAATTAGGTAATTTGCATTTTAAGCAAATTTAGCTCAATAAATGTGAAAAATTAAGAGAATAGTACAGATTCCTTAAAAACATAATTTGCCAAAATAGGCTTCAAAATAAATTCATGAGGTAAATAAAAAGACCATACAACCTCCAAATAAAATTTTATATTTAGTTAAAGTGTTCCTACAAAGAAAACAGAATGCTCAGATAATTTTACAAATGAGTTCTAATAAACATTCTTGTATTAGGTCATTTCAATCCCATGCAAGCCCATCTAGAGAATATAAAAATAGAACATCCTCAACTTACTTTGTGTGACAAGTTTGTTGACTTCAAAATTAGACAAGTATATCATGAGAAAATCACAATTACAAATGTTGATATAAATATCTTAATTATTAATAAGCTCAATTCAGCCACAAATATAAATAGAATAAATATTCCCAGTCTGGTTTCATCATAGCAAGCCAAATTTGGTTTAATCTCAAAAGAAAAAAATATTTTCACAAAATACATTGCATTAACAGATTAGGGCAAAGAAACATATGATTATCACAATAAATACAGCAAAAGCATGAATAAATCTCATCATGCATCGATGATAAAAAGGCAATTATCAACTGGCAATAGAAGGGAGTATCACATCCTGATAAAGGGAATCTATGAAATACACACAGCATCCATTCATTTGCTCAGTGGTGAAATGCACAATTACTCCATTCACNTAAGAACACCTGCATATCAAAATGTCATAAAAGTCATAGTACAAAGATCATAAAAATATAAGCCAAGAAGTTATTCACAGCAAGTATAACCAAAAAAGGGTTAGTATTATTAATATACAGTAAATGTCAATGAATCAGTGAGAAAAAAAAATGAATGCCATGGAAAAATGGATAAAAGACAGGGGCATGATTTCTTTTCACAAAAGAAGAAACACAAATGGGAAAAATAAAGGAATACTGTGTGTGTGTGTGTGTACACTAGTGCATGTGCTGCACATGTGTTCTATGTTATTAACAGAACTAAAAAAAAAAAAACATAGCACTCTTTCATCCTACTAGACAGAAAAATATTCAAAAGTATGAAAATGCCAAGTACAGGAGAAGCTTTGGAGTAACACAAGCTTTTCAACAATTGCTAGAGTGTCAACTGGTACAAACAATCTGTGAAAATAATAATTTGGTATCAAGAATACTTGAGGATGTGCTTTGAGCTCTCAATATATATACTAGGCTGCAGTGGGGCTGGATGGGAAGGTTTCTGGGTACAAAAAAAAAAAACCACAATGACAAAATTCTTGCATTAACATATGTGCATTATATAGCACATATAAAGTTTTATGTATAATGTTTAAAGTTACAAAAATTAAAAATATTCCCAAAATCCAACAAGGTGAAAGATTCATAAAGTATGCTTTCTGGACAGTAGTCTATACTGGAACCCATCATGTTGGAAATAAGTGCTCTCCACCTACAAACATCAACATGCATTAGACAAAATTTTGAGTGAAGAAAAGCAAGCTGTGTAAGAATATATGCAGTATGTTACTGGTTTACACAATATATAAAAACATGAAAAAATGCACAATGTGTTGATAAATAGAGAGACATATGTGGTGGAGCTATAAAGAAGAGCACAGGAATGGTAAACACAAAATCTAGGATAGTTGTTACCTCTGGGGTCGCTGGTAAGGGCAGGAGGATGTGGTAACGGAAGGTCAGAGGTATACGCTTTGTACCACAGGGTAGGGTGTGAGCATAGGAGTTCTGACTCAGTCCCAGCTCTGGTCACAGAGACTTATCAGTATCACAGAAGAGGGCTTCTGATAGGGTCAGCACGTCTTTTCAGCGTCCACATGCTAGCATAACCTATCCATCATACCTACAGTCAGAGAAGTGGGGGCAGCAGGCCTGACATGTGCAAGGCTCAGCAAAACAGCGCCTTCTGTTTGCAGATGGTGAGCCTCACCCAGGGTTTGGATGGCAGTATCCAAGGAAAACCAGTCACAGAAGAGGAACTCCTGTCCTCAGTGGGATGAACCCTGTGATCATAGGTGTGTGGCAGAGGCGCGTGCTGTCCCGGGCTCCTCGCTGGAAGGCTGAGGTTCCAACTGGAGGCTCTGGAACTGCTCCTGGGTTGTGACCTACAGCCACAGAAGAGAAAAAACATCCACACTTACAAAGCAGCAGGCAGATGATAACGTATCGTAGAACTTAACCCTGAGCCAAAGAATGTGTGTGAAGGATGTGGGCATTAAGTGTTCTGTAAAGAGTTCATTTTCTATTCATAAAACCATTTGTTACATATGGTGTCAAGGTATATAATCATGACATGTGTAACTTGGATATGCTACTTCAGATTCTTGTTGCTTAGTTGCTAAGTCGTGTCTGACTCTTTTGCAACCCTGTGGGCTGTGGCCAACCAGGCTCCTCATTCCATGGGATTTCCCAGGCAAGAATGCTGGAGTGGGTTGCCATTTGCTTCTCCAATGGATCATCTTAACCCAGGGACTGAACCTGCATCTCCTGCATTAGCAGGCGGATTCTTTACCACTGAGCCACCAGCTTGGTCCTAACTTACTCCATCATAGCCAGTGGAGTAAATGTCATGTTCACACATAGTCTTCAACACTCCCAGCTTTTAAGCATATTTCATAATAAATAAATGAAAACATTAAAATAGGAAAAATACATTGATTATGATGCATAAGATCATAGTAATGTATCTACTGAATGAAGGTATGAACATAAAATTATGATAAATGTTATACAAATAGCTCTTATAACATGATATAAAACTTTAAGTAATAGTATTATACTTAAATTCAATAGGCTTCCTTGATGGCTCAGAGGGTAAATAATTCTGCTGCAATGCAAAGAGACACAAGAGACACAAGTTCGATCTCTGGGTCGGGAAGATCCCATGGAGGAGGAAATGTCAACCCCCTCCAGTACTCTTGCCTAAAAAATCCCCTGGACAGAGGAGCCTGTCGGCTACAGTCCATGGGGTTGCAAAGAGTTAGACACAACTGGGCAACTAAACATAAACTTAAGACAGTCTCTACCTTCATAAAACTCAGGAGACACAATATTCTCTGTAATAACTCAAACCATGACTCTAGAAATAAAGCACTGAAGTAAGTGAAAATTTGAATGACTTTTTCTTAAAATGTGAACATGAAAAAAGCTCCAGATTATTTCCAAATTAATATATTAATTGCATACTTGTGATTTTACATGTTTTTACAACTCAGTTGATACATGAAACATTAAAATAGGTGTCTAACTGATCTATATGCCAACTATGTAGGCTCAAATTCTCTGGGGACATTTTAATATTTTCTTCTTGGGAGAATGGTGCATCCTGTTATATATGGGTTTGATAGAAAATGAATTGGAGGTGATCGCAAAGAGGAAACAAGTATCATTCTATTAATTTTCATGTGTGACTTTATTTAATCCTTATATCAACTCGGGGGGAGTTTTACAGATGGGGAAATGGTGATTTCAAATTAAGAAAACTGCCCAACACCTCACAGTTGGTCATTATTTATTGACCTAGGGATTTGTATTCAAATTTTATCAAATTTCAAAGTTCATATAACATACAAAGTGTTGTTAATATAACATTTTTAATAGAAATCTCCCTCTCCAAATTAACCAAGGAAATGGGAGAAAGGCATAAACATAGCCTGTGAAAAACCCATGAATACAACATATTGATTATACACAGAAAACCTTATACCTCATATGATAATGGAATCCTGCCAGATTTTCATGTGGGTGCCCAAGAAAGTCCTGGAGCAGGGAATGGCAACACACTCCACTATTGTCTGGAGAATCCCATGGACAGAGGAGGCTGACAGGCAGTAGTCCATGGTGTTGCAAAGAGTCGGACACGGCTAAGTGACTGACTGAGCATAAAAGCAATTACCATTTAGTAATGGGGGTTTTGTTCAATAACTATAAACTCAAAATTTATAGTTAATTTTGAGTAAAAGATAAAGTATAACTGAGTGCATGTACATTTCATTTTATTTTGGTCAATCTAAAGAAGACTAACACAAGTTCCTTGGAGCACATAAGCCCACTGTGAGTGTGATATGCTTGAGTTAACACTGAATTGGCCAGGACACCCAGGTTAATGTCTGGAATAAAAAATGAAGAGCAGAGCCCACTTATATCACTGTGTAGGGTTAACTTTTATTAACTGCACTCTTTATATGCAGTTGTCTTTTCATGGGTGTTTTATGGAAGCAATTTCATCACTTTTTGGTTGTATTGTGTTCTTGTAAATCTCCCTTCAAAGTTTTGTGAAATACTGCATTAAGGCATCAAGTTAAAATGGCTCAACATAGTTTAAAAAGCCTTATTTTAAAATCCCAGAAACTTTAAACAAATATATAAAACAAAATTAATCTTTTGGAACATGGCAAAGGAATAAATGCATACTTAAAATAATAAATAAACACTAATAAAGTTGGGCAGTTATCTTTCATTGCAGTAGAACAAAGTTTGGGAGCATTATTTCTATTATGCAATGAATAAGGTTAAGAAGTGCCTTATGCATTGTCCATAGAGGGATGTCAGATTTTAATGCAGGGATTAGACATTTCTGTGTTGTTCATTTACTCATGAAGTGAGAAAAGTGACAGTGATGGGAGCTGAATTAACTTCCAAAAGAATGGAGAGCACCATGGATGTCCCATGTGTATGAATATCTGCTTCCTTAAATCACTGGGATCATGGTATACACCCCTCGCTTGGAAACAGCGAGGGAGACAGTATATAGGAAAACACCACACTATCTAGGAAGCTGTAAAACCTGACACTTAGATGAAATTCAACACCAGTGTTAATACCCTTGAAAGAAAAAATTCATCTCAAGAGTCACAGCAATACAGAAATAGTTTAAAGAAATAAGATAGAGCAACTGCAATGTACTATAGAAAAGATTTGCTCAGATTACAATCTATCCTTTTTTCTGACATTTTAGCTAGAATAATATTTCAAAGAGATTCTTAAATAGTTAACACAATAATGAGCTCAATTGTTAGAGGAACAGTTCTCCTTATGCACCTTATTTTGTGTTCAGATTTAGGTTCAGAGTTCCTTCCATTTTTCATTTCTTTCTTCTCTCCTTCCCTTTCTTCTGACATTATTTCCATAGTAGGGATAAGAACATTTTATTACCCCCCCCACACACACACAAATGAATTACTTTTAAAGATATTTGGTTGACTGTCCGCTCCATAGGTTTTGTTCACTGCTGCCTTCTCAGGATTGGCCGGCTCCGCCTGGTAATGTGAATCTGGAGGCACTGAGAGGGTAGGGGGAAGAAAAGAAATACTACTGGCCAGCAGGAGCCCGGAGGAGATGCTGAGTCATCCTTTACTGTTATTACCAGCAGCAATCTGCATGCACCACGGTCCGACCACACGCACACAGCCTTCTCTTCAGGGCATCACTTGCTGTTCAGTCATGGACCACATTTCTCTATGTGAGAAATGCGTTGGGGCAATTAAGTCAGGGGAGGACTGGGAGAGAGCGAGTGTCCGGTTTGTTCCGCTTGTGCCTCTCACTGTTTATTGATGGAACATCCTGTGACGATAGAGTCAAATCTAACTAGGAATGGCATGGATGGTGATTTCTCTCCAAATGTACTGAAGCTCCATAAACTACTCCCTTTTCTCATAACCACCGTCCTACCACAGAGCAGCTGACACTGCGGTGCCTCCGGTAGTAATCACTACCGGTATGCCCTTCCTCTCCTTCTCCTCTGGATGAACTCCTACTAGCTCTGAAGTCTCTGGAGAGACCACCAGTTCTTCACAGGGCAGGAAAAGAGTCAACTCATTTTTGTCTTCTTTCCTCCTGCAAATCAATACCTTGACGGTAGATACCCCAAACTACTGTGAATTGATAGCTGAGCTGTAAACCTGCTCCAAATGCCTTCACAAAAACAGATTCCCTGCAAAGAGAATATGGGCTTCAGATGTATCTGTAAAATCAAGACCAGTGAGTTGCTGTGAAGATTGTAACGATATACATGAAAACCTTATAGTTCTGTGCAGCACATTACTAATGTGCAGACTAATTTATAATAGATCCTTCTCTATCTTTGAAAACAAAAGTCTCCACTATGCTGACCTTTGGCACCATCTATCTACTAGAATGATTCAAGGGACCTGCGCTAACCTTCCTTTCATAGATCTCCTGCTCGAATGGAGATTCCACCAATGGTAGGAGGGGCAACTGTGGAGCCCAGGCATACAGTCCCGGGATGTTCTTGCTACTTAGTAAGTTAGGACAAAGTACAGAGAAGAGTGAAATGGACTGAAGGCAGGACTTAAAATTAACTTACAGGACTGGAGTCATGGCTTGTCCATCACTGAAGGGTGCAAGTTAAGTGGCTGAAGTCACGGGACTGCATTTCCCAATTCTACTTTCTCAGCTCCAAACAAAATCCTAGCACAGGTACCCAAAGACCTCAAGAGAGGGCTATTACAAATTATCCCAACCATAGCCAAGTTGCTTTTAGCTTTTTATTAACAGAGGAGTCACGTTATACATATAGTTGGAATAATCTGGGCTATGATCTCCAGTATGGGTTTTCTTCGCTGTGTAACTGGTTAGACGTGAAAGAAAAATGAAAATGAAGAACAAAAGCAAGACACCCGGCTAAGGTTCGGAAGCCTTCTCCAAACCTATCTTTGGAAATGGAGCTAAACATGTTACTTGGACTAAACACAACAGAAGCTCATGTAAATTACAGCTCAAGCATTTACAAGTTAGCTAGAAAATGTGAGAATCTGTTTTAAGTTCCTCCTATTCTTTGTGCAAAATAAAAAATAAAAACTCAGTCTAGTTCTTAAAATGTTATTTGAATTTTTATGCCAACATGAAGGGAAATAATACTAGTCAAGTACTGAAAACACTGCCTTAGCAGCTATTTTTAGACTTACTTTGGTCTATATTTAAACAAGCAGTAGATAGCCCACATATGTATATTAAATTCCTAGATCTGTCTTAGAATATTAGGCTTCCTTACCTCTCTAAGTGGTGTTATAACATATTGTCTTCTACTTACACTTTTCACTAGTGCATTTTTCTAATTATGATCAGAATTAAGTCAGATTTTAAAACCATTGTCCATGTTTACTTATAGATAACTGAATGAGATAGACTTTATATAGTAGCTCAGATGGTAAAGCATCTGCCTGCAATGCAGGAGACCTGGGTTTGATCCCTGGGTTGGGAAGATACCCTGGAGAAGGAAATGGAAACCCACTTCAGTATCCTTGCCTGGAAAAATTCAAAGAACAGAGGTGCCTGGCAAGCTTCAGTTCATGGAGTTGCAGTTACACACGACTGAGTGATTAAATACACACAGCATCTATGATGATCCTAAACCAAATCACCAAAAACTCTGCTGATAAATGATGCCAATCAAAAGTCAATGGCACACAGAAGGGGTGGCATTTTTACAAAAAGAAAAAAACATACCTAGTGTGGAGGAGTCTCTTCTTCAAATATGAAGGTACTAATGGCAGATCCTATCCCATGCCTGGGAATTAGACATAAATAATTATCCCATTCCTGCCAGGCATATATAGTACTAATTATTCTGTTTGTCCAAAAAGCCAGTTAATCAAACATCTAATACTCAGGTTCTAGGCTCATTATGGAGGCGTTCAAGTGTATCTACCTAAAATTCATGCCTTTCAGGTTTCTATAGATTAAGTATAATCATAGACTTCTTTTTCCTGAGCAGGTTCTCCCATTTCCTTCCTTCCTGGAATTGTCATTATAGTAAATTCAGCTATGGATATGGACTCTCTCATCCAAAGTGAGTATTTGCATCATTTCTAACTTTTGAAAACTAGATCAACATTACCACCACCCTTAAGTTACTTTTTGGGTCAGCAAAAGTAACCCATTCTTTCAGAATTTCAATATGTAAATAGTATTATTTTAATGAATGCTTTTATTCCAATTGAGCCCAAGTTTGGGGAAATCAATGAAGGAAAGAATTATTTTTATGGAAAGAACTTTTTGTGTTTCCTTTGGAAATGTCACAAAGTCATCAGTGTTGCTTTAATTATTTTGTGATGATCAGAGTAGAAGTGCAGAGTCTGTTCACATTTTTCCTAGGATAACACTCTGGAAGTACAGGACCTTGGTGTTCTGAGATCATAATTAGGATGTTAAGGCAATGGGTCCCAAGCATGAACAAGTCCTTGCATATGCAATGGCTGAGCCAGCTTTCACCTATGTGTAACACTCCTCAGAAACAGAACCTGTGAACCTAAGGCATCTCCTCCCGCAAACTTTCCCTTGGGTCAGAAGTAGACAAGGAAATTCACCCTGACCTTCCTACGTGGTGAAAGATACCCTGTGAAGACCAGCTTAAGTGCGTCCCTTTTCTTATCTATTAGTAACGCATTCTCATTTTGTTCCCATATTCATTCACAGAACTGCTTTCTTTTTCATTTTCCGCATCTCTCCCCCAACTCCTGTGCATACTCAACCTGGCTCTCTTCTGCCTGTGAGCATGTTTCTGTGCAAAGTTGAAGGCAAGGCAGTGGTCCAGAATCTGTGTTCTTTGCTGTTACCTGCACACATTGTTAATTCTTACCTTGATCGAACCTCATATTACTTTCAATCCAAAGCCTTTTTATTTGATATAAGATCACACATCCTGGGAATTGAAAGCAGACACTGAGACGCTGACCAGTAATGGAAATGGTGTTATCATCCATGTAGAAATGTTACATGCATCGTGATAACCCTGAGATAGGAAGAATAATCTTCCTTGAGAATAACAGTGCGGATTTGAGTCTTTGGTTGCCCTCTCAACCTGTATTAATACAACAGGATTTTCATTCATTTTGACATTGTAGAGAGAAGGCAGGGAGAGCTACTCCAGGAAGTAGACGTGGGGAAGGAGAGGGTGGCTTTCCTACTGTAAGGGAAGGAAAATGACAGCCTGGTTAGCTTCAGCTGGAATGTAACATACCCACAGCTTGATCACCCTGGAGGCACATTTTGACATAACAACAAACTACTGAGAAAGAGCCACTTTTATCTAGGTCAGAATGACAGAACCCCAAGTGTTAGTGCCTGGGGGGTGAGGGGGGTGGTGTGAAAATACAGTTTGAAGCATCAAGAAGAAGACTGCAGTCTAAAGAGATCTGCATCAAGTCTCCACACTGCCTCATCGTTTTCATCCAGTTCATTTTAACTGCTCCACTGGTCTCTAATGGCATCGCATTTTGATTTCAGCATCTATCAAAATAAAACGAACCATGTGTTCTGACGACGACATTTATAATAAGATGCAGATGGTAAAGGAAACAGATGCCTCTGACATCATCTGCCATTGGCCTTCAACTTCTGCAGACACCAGCAGTCTGGAGACTCATTCAAAGGGACGCAGGATAAGTCAGGCAGTTTTCCAATTCTGTTTCCAGTCTAAAAAACACTGGCGGCAGCAGCACTGCTTTGACTCATAGAGTGATAATTCCACAAGGAGAAATCTGATTCTAAGGCGGTCAGGCTTTGATACAAAATTAATCATCAGGATGGGGGGGGGGAAATCCCCACAAATATCAGAGTTTAGCCATTAGTAACTACTGACTGTTTCGCGTGAGTGACAGAAAGGACAGGGTGGGAGTGGTGATGGTGAACAGCTGCAGTTTCAAGGAAGCAAGAAGGAGAGGGTTTTAAAGAGACAAGAGGGCCTAAAATACCCTACCAGCCCTTGGCATCCACCGTTCCAAAACTGATTACTTATGACTTTCCAGTAAAAAACTTTAAGGAGGATTTTCAGGTCACTGTTTCTTACCTCAAAAGAAAGAAAAAAAAAATCCATTCTGTATTTCCATCTGTATTTTCCAGAAGAGATCTGATAATTCCGATAGGAGCTTTCACCATTTCCCCAGTGATATCTGTGAACATTCTACACAGTAAAAGGATTTGTGCGTATGTGTGGGGTGCAAGAGAAATGTGTTGGGACACCTTCTAAAAAAGATAAGAAACTTTTGTACTTTGTCTTGAAAGCAAGAGGCCCTTGGGTAAAGCAGTAACTGCCAGGCTTTCAGCAGTGCATGAGACTCTGCGCTAGATCAGCTGAGTTACAGATGAAGCGGAGAGTTAAGACAAAAACCTTTAAAATCCTCCTATCTCCCCTGACCATGGTAATATAACTTCATCTACACCTCCGTGGCACAAACATCTGAGCAGAAAAAAATTCAGAAACAAAGGCAAGGAAAGTGGTGACATAAAAATAAATCCTGCTAGGCCAAATACAGTGCTTATTTTTAAAATAATCTCTCTCTGCATGTAACGAATTGATCACAAACACACACACAAACACACACAGTGCAAGAATAAACAAACTTCTAATTCATATCCACAAACTGGGTTGGAAAGTATTAGTGCAAATCTCTGCTGACCTGCAGCACTCAGTCCATAAACTTTGGGTATCCTAGACGATCCATCAGCGTCCAGCAGATGTTCTCAATTAGTTTAATTTCATCCTTCGGCAAGTTTCGTTCCCAAACGTTAGTATTAGCGGGTGATATCTCCCCTTCGTAGGGAAGGTAGAAAAGGTTCGTGGAGGTGGCAAACAATATTTGGTTTAAAGTAGCAGGAGATACAGGAATTCCAAGGAAGGCAAAAATCCTTTCCGTGGTTTTCTGAGGGAAATGCACAAGATCTTCAAACTTGATCAGCTGGTAGTTGGTGGGCAGCAGGTCGGCATTTATCCTCAGGGCAGCGGCCGTGTTTGCCAGCCACGCATGGGCCAGCAGCGAGACTGGGTGAGGTCTGGATGCCAGCAGTTCCTTCCGCAGCAATTCATACTCGACAGCATAGCCTGAGTTCAAGGTACAACGGCCTGCACTTCCCTCCGTTTTAAACAGCTTAGCTAAGTGCTCCTGTACATTCTTCAAAGAGTAAAGGCTAGGTTTACTACTGTACAGCATGGAATAAACCCACGCCCGAGGGTCCCTCACCACGTACAAGGCCCTCATGGAGGCTCCCAACACCTCATGAAAGAAATGCAGCTTTACGGTCCAGCTCCCGCTGCCCAGGCTGAGCACCGGCCGCGCGCTGGGGTAGTGGACCAGGTGTCTCCGCAGAGCCCGGACGTATTCAGCGTCTCTGTCAAAGGCGCCTTTCATTCTGCTTCTTTGTTCTGCCAGAGACTCTCTCCTTCTCAACTTCCTTTTCTTGTCTTTATTCATGGTAAAATACTGGGCCAGTTTTCCCCTACTGGGTTCGTGCAGATGGATGTTCTGCAAGTGGAGTTTCGTGTCTCGGACCAAGGACTGCAGCCAGCCTCGGAGTAAACGGAAACGCACCCCGTGGACGTCGGAAGCTGTCCATTCACAGGCGTCCACAAAGGAGTCAATTTCCAATTCCGTTTCCGGGATGTCAATGTAGGCTGTGGGGACCCGGATGTAGAGGAAGTCACTGCTGTTGAAGAAGAGTTGTTTGAGAATCTCGGCTCCGGAACCAGGAAGTGAGGTAATGATGACGTCCGGCGGGTCTGCGCGCTGGCCTCCCGGGGCCGGCGCCTGCGCGCTCGCCTCAGTCTCCGGCCTCGCCCATTTGGCACAGATGGGCTGCGTGCAAGTGCTCCACACGTCCAGCAGCTCAACGGACCACAAGGCAATAACAAGGATGAGGATCCACCGCATAAGCTTTCTAAAAGAAAGGTAAAACCGCCACTGAAAAGTTAAGATCACCAGGCCGATGCACAAAATCAACCCAACTGCTACATTAAATTTAAATCCAAAGGGGAAAATAACTCTATCCCGTCTTACTGGCTTTACTATTGCCTCAGCGCCCAAACCAAAGCGGGTTACTTGGGCCTGATCAGCCACAGTGGCAAAGCCGCCAAATCCCAGGTAGTCAAACCTTGTCTTCAAGTTCTGGTAGTCGGTCACGATCGAAACAACATGGTCGGTGTTATTGACATTGAGAGAAAGCTGAAGTCCAGAGTTGGAATTATCAATAAATCTGCAGCTGGAAACATTGACATATGGCCCATAGAAGACATACGCGATTCTTGTGATTGCGGATTCCATCTGAAACGTAACATTGACAAACTGAGTCCAGCGTTTCTTAAATTCAGCGGCTTGCTCTGCTTCCTGGATACTAGCAAGGGGGCTACTGCCGCGATGGTCAAACCAAAACATCTTGTAGTGAGCATCCCACACGTCCATCAAGGCGCCACTGTACCTGTTCATGAATCTATATGGGATGTACTTAAAATCAATATCCAGATTATGGAAGAAGGCACTGACAGATTTTATTGGGGAATCTTCTTGCTTCTCGACGTGATCAACAACTAGCAGAGTCTGAGAGTTTAAGAGAAGCAAAGCCCGATACACACTTTTCAGCTTCATTGCTGAAGAGTAAGCCGACACGGCTTCCCCACTCACAAATATCATGTCCCCGTGCTGAGAGGCAGTAATGATTTCCCCGGCCGCATCACCAACCTCCTCGCCGGTCCACTTGAGCCACTGTGCACATTCTCCCAGCTGACCTTCCCAGGGCTTATTACACTGGCTCGTGGGTGACGGCGCGAACACCAGCACGTTGTTCAGGTGGCTCAACTTGGGTCCATAGAGAGCTTCGGAAACAAACACCTGCCCGTTGGGGGCAAAGGTAAATGAGTTCTGATCCGGATGTTCATGTCCAGGGTTGAAGCTCCTCCACCCATCAATCCAGGAATATGGCTGGAAGTGAACTATGTCATACACAGCACGCCCTCCTAGCTTCCCAGACTTAAAAGACACAAAGGTATTGGTCTGTGTATTTGGCAGCCCAGCCCCATAAGTGACCACACCCCAGTTAGGGAACATGTGCAATTTTGCAGTGCCATATTCCGCAGGAGGCTGTGGGGTAAGCTGGGGGTCATACCAGATGTATTCAGTGTGAAGGGTACTCCACCTCTGGGCAGTGGAGGGGACCATGGGTCCGTCTTTAGGTCGGTGCCTTCTGATTTGCTGAGCTAACCAATTCCCAGCTCCATTCTTTAAGACAAATTTATCCAAAAAAACTAACTGGCTCTCAGGACCATAAAACCAGTTATAATTGGAATCTGCTATCCCCACGGTCCTTTGGAAGCCTGGCAAAAGGGTGGAATAATAGAACCAAAAGTGCATTTTTAACCAGTTGTTATCCAAGTTGTTGATATTAAAGTGGCGCTGGGCCAGAAAAACATACTGTGTGACTGATTTAGCTGTGTAGCTTCCATAGGCCACACCTTCATCCAAAGAGCCATCAACAATGTGATTCAACAGAAACATGGTCTTTTCCATCACATCTACTACAACCTGTTTCCACAGATTTACCTTAGTCGCTTTATCTACCCCAGTCACCAAAGCCCCGGTGAGCAGTGCTATCATGTTAGTAGCTTGGTGGTTGTGAAGAAGTTGTTTGCCCCAGGAACGGACCTTAGAAAACTCATACATTTCCTCAGTAATAACCCATATTTTTTCTAGGTATCTTTGTCTCCGACGACCATCTAATAAATTATATAAAAAGTCAAAGGCAGTGGCAAAACCTGTTAGGGAATGGCCAACTGGAACCTCATCCCCTGGTGCATTCTCCACCAGCCAGTTTTTGTAGCCCACCATCCTATCCATGTATTCCAATGCAAATTCAAAGGCAACTTTGTCTTCCGGGCACAGCAAACAGTACAGCGCTAAAGGAGGCAGATTGTTACCATAGATTTCATTCCACTTGGCAGCAAAATCAGCATGCTTGGGTGGAGGTAGGTAGTATGTCGGGTTTGACAGCATAGCAGTCACCGCGCTCCTGATTGCTCTAAAAAGGTGCAAATGGGTCGTGCGAGACTTCTGTCTCATTGCTTGGATCTCTCCAGCATCAAAATACAAACGTGGATGAAGCATACTCTTCTTCGGTTTTTGATTGGGTCTGACATCTTGCACTCTTTGTGTCTTAAATGGATCTATGTCATCTGTGAAAACTGCCCAGTCAGAGTAATTGCTCACAGATTCCTCCAAAGTAGAGAAAGCAAACATCACTAATACTAAAAATAAGCAATGTCCTGTAAACATTAACGCCATGATCCATCGGGGAGCTCCTTTCCTCAGGCATACATGTCAAATGCAGCGCTCAATGTGCTTCCCATCTGCTGAGTATAAAACATACATTTAAGGCCTTGATAAAACAAAGACTGTAAATTGTATGTGCTGTGAAATCCTGCTGACATTCAGCTCATTCAAAGTATAGTTGCCAAAAAGAGAAACCTTACACTGTGAATCTGCCTCCCTGATGCAGTGTTGCTTCCAATAAAACTTCAAGGAATGTTAAAGCCTCTGATTTTCCCATGTCACATAGAAAACAGGAGTGGAGATAGTCAAGAATACTATGAATTCACAATTTACTTCTGTGACAGAAATCTACCTAACATGAAGAGTCAAAAACCCCACATTGTAAAAAAAGAAAAAAAAAAAAGCACTCCAAAATCCAAATTAAGAACTCATTCCTGGCACAGGATACCATCCCTGGTGATAAGGTCATCATACAGGTCTGATGCCTTTGTCTGTGTGCTCTCAAAGAAGTTGATGAAGTACTGAAATCCTTGGAGCAGACTGGGTTGTTACTCCGCTCAGCTTTTTACACTTCTGGCTGTGAAAATTTTTTTTCTTCCTCCATTTTTGGGAGAAAAACATCCTCAGCAAGTGTTCAAAGTCCTACTTGGTTTTAAAACACTCCGGATTCCTGCCCTCATTTCCAATCTGTCTTGTTCAGGCTTACTTACTCATCAGCCTATTATGACCCATCTGAGAAAGCATATTCTCATCTTCTTTTAACAAAGCTTCATCCGTACAACTATGAAAATCTAATCTTTGCAACCACCTAGGTACTTCTTTTCCAATCATGAAGTAACCGCCAACTGGGCAAGAAAACTCCCCTTTCACCAACAGTGACGTCTCTTTTCCGTTCCTTTTTCATGACACTGAAAAAACAAAACAGAAATTTTGTTCTGGGGGACAAAACAAAACAGAAATTCTCTGAGGCTACAGGTATGCTGGGACATAAAAGGAAGATTTAAACGTTCTACCATCTCCTAATAGAAATTTTAGAATGACAATAAGATCTGTTATTTAATACAACTGAAGTTACACTAAATGATTCCTTTTTCTCATACTTTTCAAGGCACATATTAGGATAACAATGGTGGTAGAAGACAAGCGGCTACAAGATGTAACTTTCCCAAGAGTATTTATTCCAACGGTGGCTTGCTTTCGTAATTTAAAATGTTTTTACTCAAATACAGTCAAGAGAAGATTGAGTACCGCTGTCATTCTTGTTTTGATCACGGAAGACTCAGAGACAAAAACCCAAAGTTGAAAGGACCATTTTATGATTCTCGATGAGGGTTTAGCTTTCAAGGGCTCAAGGTGTCTTTGCCAGAGGAACTATAATACTAAGCGCAATCACTTTTCTCGAAAAAGAAATCATGACAATGTGTGGGAGCCAAGAACGCCGGTTCTGCTCCACTCTCCCTCCCGAAAAGCCTGGTTTTCCATCCTTACAAGAAGCCGCCAGAGGGAGCTCAGACCCAAACCCGGACTCAAGGAGCAGCTTCGCGGCTGCCCGTCTGGGTTGCGAAGAACCTCACCAAGTTTCAGTCTTGGACAAGTCTCCTCTCTGTGGGAAACATGAACGCTAGGAGTTTCCTGCTCCGCTCCGCCTGTTGCATTTTGTGATTCGCTTCCTACGAACCTGCCCGCTCCATCCTCCGCTCCCCATCCCCGACCCCTGGCAAGTGGTCTGGGGACAAGAGACTCCTCAATGGCCAAGTCCGCTTACCTCTGCAGATCTGGACGGGGTCTCTCCGGGTGGCGGTGGGCCCCGATGAGACGCAGGCGGAGAGTTGGAAAACACTGCTCTGCGTGGGACCCGGGCGGCCCGGCCCCCGCAGGGCTCCCGACGCCCCCGGTCCGGCGCCCCCGGCGCTCCAACAGGCTGAGGCCCCGAGGAAGAGCAAGGGCTGAGGAGAGGAATGTGCGGCAGCTGGGCTGGAGTTGCTGTCATTTAGAAATGCAAAATCAATTTACCGTATTAATACAGGATGGACTTCAGGAGCACAGATGCTAAAGATCAGGGGAAGACAAAAAAGACTAATCAGCCTTATTGATTGCAATAATTTCTCTGGCAGTGTAAATATGGAAAGGTATGTGACAAACAGGTGGAAGGAACCTCTTTCTTATTCAAAAAATGGAATCTGCACTTCAGTAAAGACCCACAGGCAGCGAAGACTGTGTGACTCAGTTATTGTGACACGTGTGTGCAATTCCAGATTTTGGAAATCGTCGAGCAGCTGTAATTCCTGTGGTACTGGACATATGGAACCTCTCACTAACATCTGAGATTACACTTGGACATGAGTCAACCTGAGTCTGCTGTCTAATATAGTGAAATACCAGTTGTTGCAAATAAACAAACTCAACCCCGTTGGGGACTGGTGATGCCTTCAATTTCCTCCTACTCCATTCCATTTTGGTAGAAAGGGACAGATATGTCTACTAAAAAATGAGTGTCTTGCTCTGATCACTTCCTGGTAAAACCAAACAGTAGACTGTTGCTAGCAGAATACATTTCAAAATAATTTACCTTGGGTGTGAAATGTGGTCTCTGCTTCCCTGTCAATCTTGTATTTGAGCCCCTTGGGAACCCTACCTCTGTCCAAATGGCCAATCTTGCTTTTCGCCTGCTGCTTCCATAACTATGCTTATCCAGCTCCTTCCTGCATAGCTTTCTCTGCCCCCGACACCCCAATTTATTGGTTGAAAGTTTTTCTGACTGTTGAAGTTCTCTCATTAGACTTGTCCCAGCTCAGATGCTAAAAATTCTTCTGTAAAGAAGAATTTCTGGTTAGGTTTCTGGTTTCTTCTGGTTAGGTTTTTCCCTAACCAGCTATAGTTTTTATCTGTAAATATATCCAGCCTCAGATCATTTGTTTTATGTGTCATACTTTCCCTGGCTGACTACTGTGCTCTCTGCAAAGCTCTGTCAGGTCATGGTCAGTCACCCAGCCCCTCTCATAAGGACTGTACCTGCGTGTGAAATGAGTTGAAGCGTCAACAGTTGGGCTCATGTAGAGTCTCATATCCTCCACTGAGATTCATTCTGAAACCAGGAGCCTCCTCCAATCTCTAGAAACAGAACTTTCTATAAACGTCGGGACTGTCCCTGTATATGTTCCACAATGGAGAAAGATGACCCCTGGCTTTTAGCCTCCCTTACAGGAGAAAGTAGAGTTGGAGGAAAGAGGGGCCCAGATGCAAAGACTGGTATAAGTTTCTGCAAAGAGGAACTTTAGAAAGTGACTAGGAATCCATGTTAGTAAATACAGTGAGTAAATATGCAGACCGTTTCTCAGAACAAAATGTGTGGATGGGATTCTTTCATTCTGTGAATCCAAAGTGCCTCATGACACAGGGCAAAAGTGAACCATGGAAAACAATTACAAATACTAACATCTGCCAGGGGAATATTTTAACTTCCATCCAAGCCTTTGCTTTTTCTTTTCAGATTTAACATCAATATGATCGTTTTCACTTTACAGATGAATGTATTCCGTTACAGACATTATGACTTTCAGGTCTGCCCCGAACATCTGCACCTAAGCTGTGGGGTGCAGCAGGCCTTTCAGCATTTCCAGATGAACTTTCAGGTTAATTCACTTTGAACTGGCATCGTCTCCCAGTTGTGAGTCTGTTGAAACAAAACAGGAGCTATAGCTGACCGTTTCAAATCATTGGCAAGAAAGGGTGGCAAGTAAACGGCTCTGTGAAAAATGAAGAGCATCTTACTTCCTATGAACTAAAAACGGATAGCTCCAATTATTGCTCCTTCCACACATGAAGATGGTACGAAGTCAGTTAATTATAAATAATGCATCCAGCCATAGAAGGCATGAGGTATATATTATGTTATTGCACATTAAAAATCTTTATGAGTGTGGCAAGAGACACATATACCAACAGCTGCTAAATTCAGAATCCTGGAGCGGTATCTTATTTTAATAGAAGAGAAGAACCAGAGAGTCTGTCACTCTAGCTCTAGGGATTTCCTGCTATATCCTATTGTATAAAAAGATCTTAAATCTACATGAGATTTTGCTTGTGATTTCAAAGCACTTAATGAAAATCTTTTTTTTTTTAATTTTAATATCTTTCAACCCTACCCCCAGCCGGAAAAGGCAATGGCATCCCACTTCAGTACTATTGCCTGGAAAATTCCATGGACGTAGGAGCCTGGTGGGCTGCAGTCCATGGGGCCGCTAAGAGTGGACACAGTTGAGCGACTTCACTTTCACTTTTCACTTTCATGCACTGGAGAAGGAAACGGCAACCCACTCCAGTGTTCTTGCCTGGAGAATTCCAGGAATGGGGAAGCCTGGTGGGCTGTCATCCATGGGGTCGCACAGAGTCGAACACAACTGAAGTGACTTAGCAGCAGCAGCTACCCCCAGCCACCCTACTTACATCAGAGATGATGCTTTCTCAACTAGATTCCCCAAAACAGAAGGTTTCCTTTCCTCCTCCCTTCCTCTTTCTTTCTTTTTTCTTACCTTTTCTTTTTCTTCTTTTCTGTTTTTAAACTCTTCAACACATAACTCAGAGCCCAGCACTTTGTGTCAAGTGTGTATCGACTGTTGAACATGAATTCTCACCCTCATTTTATGGCAGGCGAGGAAACAATCATAAAAATCTAAAGTGGGTTGCTGAGTTCTGAGAACTGAAGCCCTTACTCTCTCAGTGGTGCGGAGGAACTTGCCACAGCTCAGAGTCAGAGCTATGTCTTGGAGGGACTTAATTCAAGTGAAACCTCAGAAGGAAGCTGGCCAACATTTTAAGGAGAATTTCTGCAAGACGTTTTATGTCTTAAGATAAGTAAATTCAAGTTCTGAGCCTTAGAACATAGGTAAATACTGCATCACCTTACAGAAGGATAAAGAGCAAGCAATAAAACAAACCAAGACACTACATAAAGTCCCTTGACTGAAATCGTATTTGTTCGTGATCTGTTATTCTGGTGGACTCTTAATAACTGGGGCAAGGATGTCAAGGAACTAATTGCTGTGTGTTCAGCAGCTGACTGTGCACAGGTCTCCGAGGCATAGGCTGGTGCAGAGCTCGGGTGTTTGAATCTAGGGAAGATTTAGTTATTCTTCCCTTAGCACATCTCTTCCTTGGCATGGTTTTGTCTGCGTGAGCTCAGTCGCAGATTCCTTGAACCACTTATCAAGGACAGAGGTGCGTTGTATTGATCCGTGAGTGCTGCTGTGACTAGAGTCACACCAGAGTTTGGGAGGGTAGCAGCTCAGCTCTGTACAGAAACAGACACCAAACTTAAGCTGCAAATGTTATTACACAACTGGCCAGCAGTAATAGGCTACCCCAATGATAAAAACAAAACCACAGATTTAAAGCAGGCAGTAGGATCTGGAAATACTCTCTGCAATTGCTTTGAATACAAAACATCTCAAAGTGACTCGGATTCTGCATGCAGAGCTGCTAATGAAGATGTGGCTGAGTTTGTTTATCCAGCTGTACAAGTCTGTATGACAGTAACGGGATTTATGAAAATTCAAAAATACCAAAGCCAGCTTCTGAGGAGCGAAGTTTCCCCGAAAGTCCACTAAAAGCTCGTGTTTTGTAAATGAGACATTTTACTGCTACCGCTTCTGCTTACCTATAGTCCTGCTTTTACTATGAAAGACAGTTTTAAAGGGGATGAAACTTACTAAGGGAGCCCAGCGTGGGGCCCTTCCTCTTTCCCTCCACCCACCCCTACCCCCACCCCGTGCATCTGGAACAGTGGTCTCTACTGGGAACAGTTTTGCCCCTCAGCACCTTCAGCAAAGTCTGGAGAAATGCTCCATCATCACACTTGGGGGTGAAAAACTGCTGGCATCTAGAGAGAAAAGGCCAAGGGGACTGTTCAACACCCGACAATGCACACAGCCTCCCCGCCTCTAACCTCAAAGAATTTTCCGACCCAGAATGTCAATACTCCTGAGTTTGAGAAACTTTGCCCTAGCCCCCTGACTCTAAAAATTGATTATGTGCAAATGGTTAGTAGTTGTTCAATTCAAGTCCTGAATTCTCCCCTAGGTTTTCAGTCATCTCTTCACCACTGGTTCTTGAGCTAGCTGTTACCTCATTTGTTCACACATGACTTTCTGTTTAGCGGGTACTGGGTCCATTTGTCTTCTCTTGACCAAAAACACTGCTGAACCCAGCTGTTTCACCTCAAATGAAAGCCTGGACTAGGCTTCCAGGCAAAACTGGCAGTAAATCAATGACTTCAAAACAGTAAGGGAAAAATGTGACTTCAGGGTTATCAGAAATCCCCTCCTGATATTAAAAATATCAGAACACACACACACCCACACAGATACACACACACACCACATACACCCCACAAACATCTTTTTGAATATCTGATTTTTTTTTCCTTTAGAGCTAATCCATCCATCATGTATTCAGTATTGTCTGCTTCTTTGCTACACTGTGAAGTATAGCCCACTGGGCTCCTCTGTCCATGGGATTTTCCAGGAAAGAATACTGAAGTGGGTTGCCATTTCCTTCTCCAGGGGATCTTCCTGACCTAGGGACCGAACCTGAGTTTCCTGTGTCTCCTACATTGTAGGCAAATTCTTTACTGCTTGAGCCATCCAGGTAACTCTCCTTTCCGACAGTGCTTTCGAAATTAAAATACTCGTACCCCCAGTATCAGAAAGACCGAGGTGTTATAAAAACATGCCAGTTTCTCAAATCTATCTTAGCCCTATGGATTAAGAATCCAATCCAATAGTCCACACCTTTGAAATGCTCCTGGGGTGCACACCTAGTTTGGAGTAACTATTCTAGGACAAGGATTTACACA